CAATAAAGCTTAAAATGAAAGAAGCGAGCAATGATGTAACGATATACGATACTCCGGCAATACGTGTAACAGATTTCGTCAACAGCAGCTGATACTTAAAACCAGAGATATTGACTACAACAAAAACACACATTTTACGATACTCCAGCAACACAGCTATTTGCAACAGTGTGTATCAGAGAGTGCATCAGTGTTGGTTTTTCATCAAAACATGAATTTTCATCAACATCGATTTACCAACTGGACGAAACTTTAGTCAAAATCTGGTCATCACAAATATTTGATGGACAATTTCATAAGCTGTATGATGTATGATTTGTGATATGTAAATTCTAGTCACGACTTTACTTCACGTCTTAGGCTCCTCGTATAACAGGTGAAGGTGTTTTGTAGATGATACAAGAAGCCTCCATGACCAAGAGTACTTCAGGGGTCATATGGACAGATGCTATACTTTTAACTTCTGGAAATAAATATTTAAGCTCAAGTTACAGCAATAATAAACTCTTACTGTTTCTGTTTTGTTTTACTTATGCAAAAATAATGATTTTCCGTGACTTATGTTTAAATGATGAATAATGTCTAATTGTCATATTCATTATCAAAGTTTAATCAGACCGACTTTCACTGGTTAACTGTAATATTGTTTGTGTGTCCCGTAACAAACATATAACCTGTCTACTTGTGAAACTGATTCCCTGGAAGGTCTGAGTGTCTCCTGAGTAAACACAAAACACCGCCAATTGAGTAAACCAGACCCGAGATATGTTGTCTATTATTTAAAAGAAACTTAACTGGATAATGGAACAAGATAATGGAACCAGGTTAAGTAATAGACGTTGTTTGAGTTGTTATCGATAATTACCAAACCAGGTGGAAAAAAATCGTCATACAGGAGGCTGAGACGAACACACCTGTGGCTTCATTAAGATATACCTGAGTGATGTATGTGGGTTAGTGTTAAGTCATCCTCCGAGACGACCGTGACCAAAAGTCGCGACGATAATTCAGATAAGAGATATAACACAGGCGGGTCTTGCTTAACCCCATCACTGTGTAAATAGAAAGAATTGATAACTCTTTTGTCTCCGCGGCCTCTGGTGGTCTAATTTGATTCTGTTAAAACAAAAACAAATTTTACCTGCGGCCTCTGGTACTTTTTTAATGGAGAAAAGAAAAAAAATCAACTGCACCCAAGGGATATCAACTGAGAGCCAACACGACTATAAAGGCTGGGAAACAGAGTTAAATGTATATACAAAAATATATATAAGTAGATCAACGAATGATGATTTTATGCATGAATAAATAATCAATGAAATAGATGCAATAAAACGCATATAAGTTAATAGTTACAGGATTGATAAAAATGCAGTGGGAAATAATATGGCATCAAACTCAGAAACAGCAAGATATAATTTCCGCTGAATGATGAATTGTACTCGGTAGAAAAATAGTTTTGAACATGAAAAACTAAAATTACTGACTCTAAAAATGTGACAAGGTTATGAAGAGATAAAGATGAAAAGAATATAAATTTAACTATTATGAATAAAAGTGAACTGTACATTTCAATTTCCCTTTGATTTGAGAGGTATCTTATATATATATATATATATATATATATATATATATATATATATATATATATATATATATATATATATATATATATATATATATATATATATACATATATATATATATACACTGATGTAGTGGTGGCTAAACAGTATATTGGTGAATCACACCCGGTACTGACAGCTGGCGTCTACAGCCACTCACCTCGCCTAAGTAACAACAATCTAATCAACAAGGCCGAGCCGACGACGTGTGCTACCTGTGGCTGCTGGCGGTGTAGCGACGGTGGCTCAGCTGTGGCAATAGTTTACTCAACACGTGTGTGTGTGTGTGTGTGTATTATATATATATATATATATATATATATATATATATATATATATATATATATATATATATATATATATATATATATATATATATATATATATATATATATATATATATACACGTGTGTGTGTGTGTGTAAACGATAACAGCTTCAATGTATATGATGGATTTTTTGTCTCCGTCAGCCGAGGTTTCTCTAACATACCTGTGGATCTCCTCAGCTTCTTGTCATATTTATTCACTTATCAATTCTATAAACAGATTGAACGTACTGTAGTTTGACAAGAAGGAAAGTCTGATGTAATGATGGTAATTCTACAACATTAAGTTATTTTCTGTTGTAAATTAGGAATTTTAATTTTAAAATCACGTCAAGATTAAGCACCCCAAATTTTTTCACCTTCAGATTAACCAGCCTATTGCTAACCTCGCCTAACCTGATTAACCACCCTAATGCTAACCTCACCTAACCTGAACTAACTTAACCTAACCAAATCCTCCCAGGAAGCGTTGCAGTACTTAATCACCAGGTATAATAAACTGGATGGGGGTAACTAACTTTCTCGGGATCCAAGTTTTATTTAGAAATGAGCATCAACGGCAAGTATTATAAAGTATCGTGACGGGAGAGGTAAATCACTAATCGTCCATACTGTCGTGTACTGAGTCTCTCCATCTCATCACTACTTCTGCTGGCCGCTCACACACACAGTCCCTATTCACCTGCCGGCACTTGGACATATTTTCGCAAGATTTTTTTCTTTTTTTTCGAGTGCAAGTGTCGGAATGTTGACGGCCATCCGACATTATTTCCCTCTCTCCTTCCTTAAACTACCCTTCAACTCCGAGAAGAAGAGGGGGAGAGATAAGGAGGAATATTATGAATAACGCACGCATGCACGCACATATATGCACACACTCACACACACACACACACACGTCTACTAACAGCTGCCTAGCCTTGGTTATATAGTCATCCTGAGTAAACAACATCTGGGATCTTCTATATAGAGAGTAAGGTTTCTCCTCCCTCCCTCCCTCCTCAGAAGTACCCAACAGTGACACACATACACAACAACACAGGCAGAGAACACTGACGTAATGCAACACTCAGGACACGTGAATGTTTTAATTTAACTAGATATCGTCTTGTTAAAACTTGTCTAGCATTTCTGTCCATCTGAGAGACAAAAGGAGACGCTGTAGGAAGATATTACCCTACCAGACGCCCTAGTTACCCACACGACCCGCAGGCGAGGCTGAGGGTGTCAAGCGTGGAAACTCATTTGGCACAGGAGAATATCATTATAGTTCTTATATTGGACCGTCGAGCTGTGTGTGTGTGTGTGTGTGTGTGTGTGTGTGTGTGTGTGTGTGTGTGTGTGTGTGTGTGTGTATAACAGTGTCACAAGTCTAATTTCAGTATTGTAGAAGTGTGTAAAGTTATTGGCGGCCTTGTATTGTATATTAACTGATAATCCAAAAAGTTCAAGAATATGGAACTTAATCTAAAAAAAAAAAAGGAACTGTGTAGGTGAAAAATCAGTACACGTTTGTTAAAGGAGATGTAAAGGATTTAATTGAACTTTGGAGATTAAACTGAAGATAAACGAATTCAAATACAAATTGTGAAGATGAACATCACTTTGTGTATCCAGGTAGTGAACATAATAATAAGTGGATGAATACACGTAAAGAATTTAATAGATACTTGTGGAAAGGGTTATAGGGCAGCGTCTTTTAGTTAAATTTACTGTTGTAGCTGTGAACTTGGTAATGATTTAAGCTCATGAACAACAAAAACAACACTGATATGCACCGAAAAGGAAAAAAAAATGAACTAGAAAAGAATACATAAATAGTGCTTATAAAAAATTAAGGTAATTATATCGTCTCAGAGGCAGATGAAGAATAACGATGAGGATATAAAGTTCAAGCGACCAGTTTTGGACACACAAGTTGAGGCAGCCGTGAATAAAAATGTATCAAAAGTTTGTTAGGTTGATTAACTTCCAACTGAATTTTGTTAATTAATTACCGAAACGAGATTAAATTTTTTTACTGAATTATTAAATAATTTACTTCAAATGATTTCTTCCTCATAAATAATATTTCTGTTGTTATCTCAAAATGAAGAGCCTTATAGTGTACTCAGTCTAGCATAATGAGTTCCTCGGCCACTGTAAGAATAATTTTATATAACAAAATATTACATATGATAAAAAACTTTAAAAGAAAATGAGAAACTGAAGGTCAAAATGAATTTATATAAGCGGGAAGAAATATATGAACAAAAAGCTTTAGAATTCTTAAGAAAAGTTAATCTGCTCTGTGGATTTCGAGAAGATATTTAATTGGTGAAAAGACAATTAAATCCAATACTTCCTGGAGAAAATAAGCCATAATGATAGGGGTATAAGAACTCTTTTATTTTGCTGGTGTGTCTATAGTGTTTTCCATCTGTGTTTTTTTTTTCAGGATTCGGTACAATAGAACTTAATGTGCGATCATATGCCGGCGCCTGTGTCCAAATACTAGGCCATTAATATTATTGAACTGACTGATGAATAATAGTAAATATAATCACAAATCACATATCTAAGAAGTAGGTATACCAGTGTCTTGTATCTGGGGCTCGACGGAGAGAAGACCAAGTAATGTGTTAATATTCACGAAAGATAATAACTTGTGAACCTTACAACATAGGGGCAACATTAACATAGCCGCGTTCATAATCACAGTCTATATACTTTAACTACTGCATGGCCTCTGAACCACACCTCTTATTGTTGTGTGATGTACTGCCAAATGTGTATACCTATAAGAGTACTGTGTCCTTATCTCACGCGAAATTGTTCATGTACAACAATATATCTGTCTATGTTCTATACATGTGTACGTCCTTCCCGTGTATGTCTATATGGCCTGACTGTGTGCACATATCCTTTAAAATACTCCCATTGTATACAGTAGTGTTAATCGTTTCCCAATCAGTACCATCATTAGTCCATTTCTGTGTTTAATAGAATACACCGTCATCTGGTTCATTAGAGCGTCACAATTCTGGGTTGAGAACGTGAGACACTGACCTTGTAGGAACCGAGGTTATCCACGACGCAGGAGAGCTTCACGTCCCTGCCGGCGGCGATGGTCACATTCTGGATAGGCTCCACGAATCTGGGCTCCTCCGACAGTGTCCCTCCTGTGGAAGAGAAAATCGTCAGTAATCACAAAGTCTAAATCCAGCTGCTGCTACTGCATCTCACTCTGGTACATATAAAATATCATTTTTAACTTCATGGTTACAAACTTTTCAGAACATCAGGTTGTTTAAGAGAAGTTATCTGAAATAGGTGGATTGTACTAACGCCAAAGTTCCCTATAAATGAACAATGGGTTGAGTTACAAACCTCCGAAATCTCTAATATTGACTTAGATTCTGACCTTCAGAAGACATAAATTAACTACACCACCGCCTCCTCCCTTCGTCAAGACTTTATCTTCCCTCAAACGCAAAATTTATAGTACAATCGATTTCACTGTCGAGATCTTGGTGAGAAGTTTGGGCATCTCATAGATAAATGCAGTAACTTTTTTCTCCCAATGGCGTGAGTGGATAATTGGTTCACTTGTGATGTATGAAACAATTTGGTTCACATGAAATCTAAATTTGTAATTTGTTCTACTAAAGAGAGGAATAAGAATTTAACTCTATATTGCCTTACTGTACATAGATCGGAGTTGACTCGTGAACCACGTTTACCCTTTGTGTCTCTGGCGGCTGATTACGTTTCTAATGAGTCACAAAGGCTGTACAATAATAAAGGCGATACAAAAATTTCCCGGCAAAAACTAAAAAGCTAAAAATATTAATATATTAAAGAGTGAAGTAAAGTCACAAAATAGAAGCTTGAATTATATGTCTGTAGGTTAGGTTAGGTTAGGTTAGGTTCCTGTCCTTTAGGTAGTGGGGAAATTCCTTAGGTTAATAACTATATGCTTCTCGCCAGATGAAAGAGGTGGTCCCACATTCCTGACGGGCAGTGGAGATACAGCACACTGAATACTAAACCTCGATACATAAAGGAGTAATTTGGCCGACACCTGCACTCGATGGCCTTCAATTCCCAAACTGGTTAGTTAGGTGCACCTTTACTGGGGTGTACGTTGTGTACATTAAAGACATTATAATGTTCTAGTACAGTATTAAGTGATGACTGATGTTCCTAACAGTTGGAAGAAATATTAATAAGATATATTGAGGCACTGGAGTACATATAAGTGAGAGAGGCTGAGACCCATCCTCATACAATATTGAGCTAGTCTTAAGTGCCCAACAGTTAACAGGTACCGACAGTGGCCCCTCCAGAGACTCTCTTAAAATGTACTACACGAATTATTGAAGACGTCTCACCGTATCTCACCTCTGCCGTCTCTCACAGTCCCTCTTAAGAGCCATCTCGCCCTAGTCCACTTGGAGGATACCATCATTATGCCATGATGGTAGAGGCTGACAGAGATCGATAATCTGGCCTCTTTGACGAGGTGAATATCAATACACTGGGAGGGCAGGTGTAGTAACGCTCCCTCTCAGACGCCTGGAGGAGACGCAGGTGTATAAGAAGTACAGGTGTGATTTTTAAGACGCCGAAGAACCTTTACCAATATAAACGAGTACTTTCGCCAGAGAGAGAGAGAGAGAGAGAGAGAGAGAGAGAGAGAGGTGCTCTGACCTTCAAGAAAGTGTTCACATAATTGTTTTCCGTTACGCCAGAGAACTCAAGTGATACACATAAACACACAAAAGCTTCCTTAATAGATATAATATTTGCAGTAAAACAACATACTAGTAACATTAATATACCTCAGTTACAACACAAAAATCACTGCAATAACACACATATTCAACTCAAAACGCCCAACAAAAACACAACACAATTCTTCAGCGACACAAGAGCTACAAAATAACATCTAAGACAACAACAATAACAACAACAAAAACAGCAACAATAACAACAACAAAAACAACAACAACACAAATATAACAGAACAGCAACATACAGTAAATATTCTGTAGCAACACAACAACCAAGCAGTAACATCTCTAAAAAAAAAAAAAAAAACTGCAAAATAACAAACGCAAAGACAACGCAACAACAAAACCCAGAAGCAATCCATCAGCAGTACAAAGGCACCACCAGGGGGCAGTACAAAAACAACAACACAGCCGCCAAACGTTAGAAATACCTGCCGCATGCGACCATCCTGGCATAGTCTCTACCAACACCACAGCCCACTGCGACTCTGTGTCACCACCACCTACTACCATCACCACTACTACACCACCACCACCACCACCACCCACTACCACTACCACCACCCTACTACTACCACCATCACCCACTACTACCACCACCACCACCACCACCCTACTACCACTACTACCTACCACCCACACCACACACCATCACCACCACACCACCACCCATCACCACCACCCCACCACCACCACCCATCACCCCACCCATCCACCACACACACCACCCCTACTACTACCACCACCACCACCACCACACCCACCACCACCACACCCACCACCACCACGTACATAAACATTCACTTATCAACCACAGCGGCAGGGCAGGAAACACATTCATGAAAACACCTCAAAAATTAGATTCGACTCGGAACACCTGACCGAACTCTCATTGAATTTGCAAAAACTGCACAAGTGGAAGAAAACGCCCAAATTTGGGTCCGCCACCCCTCGATCCGGAATGTTTGGGTTTCCAGTCCAGCTAGCGTTGTATTATCATATAGGGCGAGCAATTCCGGCCCGCTGAATGCTAAAGAGAGGGGAGGGAACGGCACGAATTACCAAACAGGGGTGAGAGAAAAATGGTGAATTTATGTGTGGAGGGAGAAAGAGAGGAAGAGGAAGAGAGAGAGTGAGAGAAAGAGAGAGAGAGAGAGAAAGAGAGAGAGAGAGAGAAAGAGAGAGAGAGAGAGTAAGTGGTGGTAGAAGTGACGAATTGGTGCAGGCAGAGGGGAAGAGGGGAGAGGACTGACTGCTGACCTCTGGAGTAGCTAGGATATGAGTAATAACATGGGGTGAGAGAGAGAGAGAGAGAGAGGACCTACAGTTAATTTTCTTCTACATTCTGGCAACACCAAAACCGACAATAAAAAAAAATCAGTGATAATTACAAGGCAGTAGAGGAAAATTTATACTGAATATGACGAAAAGAAAATAATCTCCCATCAGAATTTTAAGAGAACAATGGAACAACCGAATATTAAAATGCAAATTAGGAAAATATTGGAACAATTTAAAAAAGACTGACTAGTTTACACACCCAGAACTATACTAACTCTTATGAGACTAATCCACCCTAAACTAATTTTAAGTTCATCTAAACTAATTTTAACTTCAGTTAACTTACCTCTTATATAACCTATCTTACTCGTAACCTAACCTAACCTAACCTAACCTAACCTACATCCATTGTAACATAACCTAACCTAACCTAACCTAACTATAAGCTACAGTGATGATGATACAAAAAAAAAAAACAGTGATAAAGATAGGGCACAGAGAACAGTGATAAAGAGGAGGAGGAGGAGAAGACAAGGGGCGGAAACAGAGCGAGATATGTAGCAGTAGGCAGGGCCAAATTCGGGTGGTGGACGGTGTATAATTGTCAAATGATTGTTGTGAAAATCAATGAGCCGTTGAGGTATATTTAATGATATTGAGAGAGAGACTACCCCAGTTCAACATTCAGCCACCGCTTCTAAACATTCTCACAGTCTCGTCTCCATAGAATGATGGTGTTTAGCCCTGAGGAGCGTCGGGTTATGTCTCCTTTTATGTAAATGACCTGAGAGATACCTTGTCTTCTCCCCCCCTAGCTAATATTAACATACTAATTGGATGACAGTTCGGCAGCGTCCGAGACTCGAAACTTGTTATGGCGATTAGGACAGTCCGAAACCCTTGAACTGCAGTATTTTGAAAGGGCTGTATGTATGTATGTATGTATTGTATGTATAAGGTTTTGATATACAATGAGTGTTTGTGTGTATTTGATGTATTTGCGTACTTGTGTGAATGTGTGTATACTGTACTATGTCGTCTTAAGCACCGCGAGAGGAATCCAATTTGGGTAATTTACATATAAATATAGATAGGGTTGTGTAATGACCTCGGTGTGAGATGTCATGGTTCACTATACCTGTGTGTGTGTGTGTGGGGGTTGGGGGTGTGTGTGGGTGTGGGTGTGTGTGTGTGTGGATGTGTGTGTGTGTGGGTGTGTGTGGGTATGAGGGGTGTGTGTGTGTGGGTGTGTGTGTGTGTGTGTGGATGTGTGTGTGTGTGTGTGTGTGTGTGTGTGTGTGGGTGTGTGTGTGTGTGTGTGTGTGTGGGTGTGTGTGTGGGTGTGTGTGTGTGTGTGTGTGTGTGTGTGTGTGTGTGTGTGTGTGTGTGTGTGGGTGTGTGTGTGTGTGTGTGTGTGTGTGTGTCAGTGCAGGGAGGTAGATACACTAATGTCATCTAATCTGACCTAAATAATTTAACATATCAAAACATAACCTAACCTAACTTAGTCTAAATCAATATAATCTAATCTAACGCAACGTAACCCAATCTGACAAAACCTAATCTATCCTATTGTAACGTAAGTCATGGTAACGTAACCTCACCCAAACTGACCCAACTTACACTAACCTAACACAATTTAACCTCATCTAACCTATAATTACACAACCTAACCTAATCTAACTTAACCTAACCGAATCTAACATACGCCTATGGCCTTACTTATAAAAAAGAAACATTCACTTGGACGCAATTACGCACACACGCACACACACACACACACACACACACACACACACACGAGTAACATTCACTCAACAGGACCCACCACAAGTCAACGAAGACCTCAACTTCATAATCTTATTTGTGTTATTTAATAAGATAAAGACATTATACACCCAGCCTTGTTTTCAACTGTGTAAACATAGCCAAGATATTTGTACGTTCACACCGAGCGTAAATCATCAACAAACAGCAGGTAATACACACACACACACACACACACACACACATCTACCCTCCCTCGGTACCTCCCCTCCTCTCACCTTTCCCACCTTTCCCACCTTCCCCAGACACAGACAGCCGCAAGCGAATGTATGTTTACAATATTAAATATCCAGCCGAGTCTCTGCTGGACTTGGCGTTTAACCGAGCAAATTGGGTGGTGTGTGGTTTTTGCTGGTGTGGAGTGAGCATCGGTGCGTGTTTGCCGAGCGAGGCGGTGTTTACACAAGGCTCGTGGGAGGTGAGTCGTGGCTCAGCTGCCTCACTTCCTCCTCTTGTGCACCCACATGTAAAGCAAAACAGGGCCAGCTTGCGTTCTTCCCGTAGGTAGTCTGCCGCCAACTTACCCTCTCTCTCACTCCCTCTCTCTCTCTCTCTCTCGGTCTACTCTCTCTCTCTCTCTCTCTCTCACACACATCCGCCACTTGTCCCTCGCCCCCTCACACGCTCTTTATCACCTTTCTCTTCGTTCTACTCCCTCCCCCCCCTTTCTCTCTCTCTCTCTCTCTCATACACGCTTCAGATGCATATTCCTTGTTCCTCCTCTTTCATTCACATTCTTTATTATCTTCCTGTTTCTCTTTCTCAATCACCTATTGCTTGTTGCTTCTGTTCCTCCATGCTTGCTTACACACACACACACACACACACACACTTCTTATCATCTCTTCTCCTTTCTCTCTTTCACCAGTCGCTTACTCATCCCCCCTGACACACACACACACACACACACACACTCTCTCTTTATCAACGCTCTTATCCTCTGCCCTCCTCCTCCTCCTCCTCCTCTCCTACGCCGGCGTATTCACCTCATCTTTGCTTGCATTGACTGTAAATTTCTCACTCTACGATTTAGGTTTTCCATTCGACTTTTTAATTTCCTTTTATCGTCCCCGTTTATCGTCATTTTACTTTTACCCTCTTTTATTTTTTTCCGTTTTCCTCTTTTCCAGCAACTACGACCTTCTTATTGTCTTGTTTATCTTAGTAACTTCTTCTGTTTTCCCCCTGGTCTTTTTTTTATTCTTATTGTCTCCTCTCTTGTTTCTTCTTTTCATCGTCTTTATTCCTCTATTTCCATCTTGCTCTCTTATTCTTTCTTTAGTTTTTTATTATATTTTGCTCTCTCTCCCTCTAACTCTCTCTCTCTAACTCTCTCTCTCTCTAACTCTCTCTCTCTCTAACTCTCTCTCTCTCTCTCTCTCTCTCTCTTTATCACTTTATCTCTCCGCCTGCTCTCCTAATCCTCTGTTCCATGCGCCTTTCTCCCTCCTATTCTCTCTCTCACCCCCTCTCTCTCTCTCTCTCTCTCCCTCTCTGTCTTTCTCTCCCCTCGTTCTCTTTATCTCTCCTCCCTC